TATGTATGTATGTATGTATGTATGTATGTATGTATGTATCTATCTATCTATCTATCTATCTATCTATCTATCTATGGCACCTTAAAATTGTCTAGAAACTCCCCTGTGAGACTTAGCAAACATAATAATCTATATACATCTCACCCAAAAACTATTAGTCAGTTCCTTCTCTGATCTAGAATGCCTCATAAAAACAATAAAAAAAAACCCACAAGTGGTCAAAATGGATGTTAGGGAAGACCAGTGCTACTTAAATGTTTTAATCACAAATACTTTTCAAAGGCTTCTCTCAGAGACAATTTTTACTTCAAAAATATTGGTTGTAATCCCCCAAATCAGCTTTCTTGGCTTGTAGACTATTAAGAGAAGCGGTTTGCTGTGAATGTGAACAGGAAGCCCCTGACAACTGCTTCCAAGGGTAGCCTGACATTGAAGAAGGGGAGAAAACACAAAGAGTCAAAGACTGCAGAGGCACAGGGCCAGAGGGCACAGCTCAGAAGTAGAAGACTGCTTGGTCTGTGCAAGGTCCTGAGTTTGATAGCTAACACTGAGGAAACAAAGCAAAACCAAACAAATGAAATTTCAGAGCTCTGAAGACTGGATCTGTCATTGCACAGCCTAGAGGAAAGCATTCTTACACAGGTAAACACAAGCTATTGCTTAGATTTTTAAAACACCAAAACCAAAAAACTTCACAGACTCAATACCACAAAGATGATTTCTCTTGTAAAGAGTACTAAACTTAGCTGCTGTATATGTCCACTGACCTGGTATGATGATTCATTATGTTAGGATATTATATATTGGTCAATTTTACGGTTATTTGTAGATAGGTCTCTCTCTCTCTCTCTCTCTCTCTCTCTCTCTCTCTCTCTCTCTCTCTCTCTCTCTCTCTCTCTCACACACACACACACACACACACACACACATCTGTAGTACGTATTTTGAATCTGACACTTTCATCACTGAATGTCATGTAAGAAAAACTCTGTATGACCTTACTCTCAGTTGAGTGGTTTATCTTAAAGAAGCACACACGTGTCTATCACTGGATAGAACTAAACATCCACCACTATCAAACTCCTTCTGATATGTGCCAGAATCATAGTGAGTCCAGATGTAAGGGACCTTCCTGAAAGATATTCCTGTGCTGTAGGCTAGCATAATAATTGAAGTTTACTGCAACTGGCATCATCTCAATAAGGTAAATCATGTTGGCATGTTACTTTCAAAGGAAAGAAAGACTATAAGGCACTTACAGTATTTATTTTTGCTAAAACAGAGAAAGTCTTAGTTCATGTGATGCTATGTGTCTTCACACAACCTTCTAATTAATTTACAAAAATTAAAATAAATAAGTGTACAAATTAAAAGGAATTTTCTGTATGAGCAAAAAGACTTCTGTTATGGAGAGCAGGAGTTAGAAACTTGTTCTGAAAAGAGTTATGGAGCAAATATGCTTTTTAAGTCTCTTTCTCCACTATTCAGATGCCACCAGGGTATAACAGCACAGAATAAATTAGGTATTACTGTATGTCACTGACAAAAACAGCGGACACTCATCATTTACCACCCCTTAATCTAGAAAAGGGTGGTGGGTTACCATCTTGTCATAGAGAATCTCATTGGTGATCAGTTCATGGAAACTCTAGGGTTTTCCAAAGAAGTCCTAAAAAACAAAACAAAACAAAACAAAAAAACCTTTTGGAGTAGATGATGTCAGTTCTTTCCAAGTCTACCCTTCTCTTCCTTACATGGTGTTACACTTGGTTCCTTTGTCTCCATTCTTCTCCCTCCCATTTATATCCTTACATTTCTAAGTTATTTTCATATTTGGGCACCACATGAGGATCTATGTCCTCTGTGAAGTTAAGCTTGAATAACCAGTGGTAATTGTTTCTTCTTAACTCAGGTGTTCCTTTGCTTAGATTTTTGTAGGTTTGAGCTCTGGTTCCTATTGGATTTGAAATTCCTAAAGGACAAGAATAGTGTGTATCAGATTTAATGTTATGACCTAATGTATTGTATGTCCCCTTTACTCTCTTAATGCAATGTATATTTGCTCTATCCTCTTACTCTCACATAAACTTCCTGGATGATAGAGCCATAGTCTCTCCCACTATTTCTGTCTTCTTGGTTGTTCATATTTTTACTCATATCTGTGTCTCATCTTCATCATTTTGATTATGGCTAATGACCTCTTTATTGTCAATGAGCCATTAGTATTTTCTTGTCAGAAAGTGCCCATTTGCTGCTTTTATAGTGGGATCTTGCAGAAACACTGACACTAATGACCACTCACTCTTTTAAAACACACGCTCTTCTTTTTACACTCCTTTTGTTTTGTTTTTTGAGACAGGGTTTCTCTGTGTAGCTTTGGAGCCTTTTCTGGAACTCACTCTGTAGTCCAGGCTGGCCTCGAACTCACGGAGATCCGCCTGGCTCTGCCTCCCGAGTGCTGGGATTAAAGGCATGTGCCACCACTGCTTTTTACACTCTTGATACCACAGTCTGTTGTATTTTCCCTGCCCATTCTTTCTCAACATCCTCACTCAAGTCCACTTCTTGTCCTTAAATACTTTAGTTTTTCAGGGGATCTTGTAGTTTCTTTAGTTTATACTGTGTGCATTCATCCTGATCACTACTGTTATATCTATTTTCAATGAACTCTCAGCTCCTACCCCCAAATCTCTTTTTCCTTAGACCTTACTTTTAAGGGTCATACCTATAAATAAATGCTAAGGAGACATTTTGATAACTTACAACCCTACTCACTGTCTCTAAAAATAAACCTTGCTAGTCTTTCCTCAATCCTACTCTTTATTCATTTTGTGTTTAGGACAAGGCATCACTATATATTGATGGCTAAGCCAGAAACTTGGCAGATAGCCTATCTGCTTCTGTCCACCTTCCAGATGTCTCCATGTGCGTTTGCTTTTCTCTGCTTCTCATCTCTTGTTTCTTTCCTGATTCAATGTTTATTACAGCAAGAATCTCCCATCAGCATATTTTCCTCTTGTGTAGCCATTTTAATTAAGTCTATGCTTCTGTTATCTAAAATGAACATCTAATTCATAAAAATATCCTATGACCATCACTGCTTTAAGATGTTGTTGAACTGATTTCACATTGTATGCTAGGTTCTGGCAACCCTGACCAACAACCCCTAGTTTCTTGCCACCATCCCCCTATTGATTCTGTCTAATTTTCTCAATGGTCCTCCTGGAATCACACATCCCAGTCTTTACCTGGCTAATTCCTATTTGCTATGAGTTTTCTAAACCCTACTTCTGAGGAAATGTTCCAAATGCCTCATAAATGATCTAGGATGATGGCAAACATTATGTCCACTATTTTATCTTCTCATTCATTAGGCACAAAACTTAATTCCTTTCATTTATTTATTTATTCATTTATTTATTTATTTTGTTTTTTCGAGACATGGTTTCTCTGTGTAGCTTTGCACCTCTCCTGGAACTCACTCTGTAGCCCAGGCTGGCCTTGAACTCACAGAGATCCACCTGCCTCTGCCTCCCAAGTGCTGGGATTAAAGGCGTGCGCCACCAATGCACGGCTTTTAATTCCTTTTTAATTCTAATGGAGCACTTGTTACATACACACAGAAGTGCTAAATTTGCCTTTGGAAGTAAGATAGCAAATCTGGCATGTATTTCCTTTTCTCTCTTAGCTATATATATATATATATATATATATATATATATATGCAAATTCTCAATGTGATTCCTACTCTTGGCAAGTGAAAAACTTTCACCTATTCACTTCAAATGCTTTACAGTTTTCCTTTGGCATATTCCATCCTCCAACATCATTACTCTTATTGTTTATATCCATTGCTAGATAAAATAAGGTTTATTGGGGCCTATGGAGATAGCTAAGTTGTTCAAGCATTTGCTTCAAAAGCAGAAGAACCTGAGTTTAATCTCTAAAACTGGTGTATAAATACCAGATGTGGTGACACATACTTGTAGTCCCAGC